CTGCCACCTGCTGGCATAATGAGACACAGCAAGAAAAAAATCTGGAAACTAAACTTCATTTCCACCCTCGACTATTGTATGACACGCACACATCAATGAAAACTAAACACATTTTTGCTATAAATTCAGTTAATTTTAGTTAGTTTTGTGAACACTCATTCCAGTTTTAGTTTTTTTTTCCTTTTTTTGTTTTTATTTTTAACGAAAATGTTTTTTCACTTCTAGTTTTCGTTATTTCGTTAGTTTTCGTTAACGATAATAACCTTGCAGAAAACAAATCTGAATTCTCTGAGAGTGAAACTCTTTTTCTTGCTAAAGTTTTGCTCACAATAATCACAACTGAAAGCTAACTCATGTGAAAATGAAAGTATATTTTGAGCCAAGAGTTGTACCAAGATTAAAAGCCTCAACACTGCCATTGTTTAAATATGTTCGATTATGAAACAAAAAACATTTCGCCACTCTAACCACAGCAAGACCACTTAGGCTGCGCAGAAATCCAAAGTTATTCAGCAAAGCAAAAGAGAAAAGCAGCCTCGGTTGAGGCCGTGTAGTTTTTCATCAACAAAAGCCACCTCTCTTGACTTTTTTGTGGCTTTTTCTCCTGCAGGATTCAGATGTGGTTGTGAGACTTTGCTGGAAAGACTGCTGTTGTCTTGGCTTTCTGACATCACACTTTAATCACTATCATATTGTCAGAAGTTGTAATTTGAGTAATCTGACCCTTTAAATGGCGATAAAAAAATGACCTTTACGTAAACACTCTCAGATTTTTTCATTTACAGCTTTAACTTCACACCTCACTATGGTGAACGGGTGTTTTCAAGGAGCCGTGACATAACCGCTGCATGCACTGCAGGTTAAACAAAGCTTTCGAGGATAACCAGCTTCAACCTTCAGTCATTCTTACAGGCTTTATTAACATTATCTCTGATGAAAGCTTAAAATATTCACCCGTGTCAAACTTAAGGTATCACAGCAAAGCTGACACTAATAAATGTTGATTTATGATACTCAAGCAACCCCACACTTAAGGATCAATACGATTTGCTGTTATACAAGCAAGTTATGTAGATGTTTACACTCGTGTGCACAGCATACACAGATTGGATAGTATATTCATATTTTTGTGTGTGTGCAGCTCGTTCCATATGTGCGAGGCGAGCTGGTCAGACAGCAATAGTCACATGCACACTGTGTGTAGGCACGCATGTGGGTTCGTGAGACAGAGGGTGGACAGCCAAATGGATGACTGAGAGAAACAGAGGCTGAAGGTCGATTCATCAAACACAACATTGGGCGGAGAGAGAGAAAAAGAGGAGAGGATAGATAGAGGAGAGCGAGAGGGAGAAGCACATGGCGAGAGGCAAAGAATTCAGATGGAAAGGGAGCATTAAAGAAATGGGAGAGTGTGACTTTTATCTTATTTTAGTACCCTGAAACAACAGATGATCGGGTGGACTGTGACTCATTTTGCAAGTGGGCTTTAATACGGCACTCAGCCTGAAATCAGGGGAGTGATTAAACTTTGATTTAACTCCGTAATATAACAGGCAAGGGGGAGTGTTGAATATTGAATCCACTGCGGCACTTAAAGATGAAGCTCGCTACTCACAGCAGGCGAAGTGACTTGAGCCCATCGAAGGCATGGACGGGGATGCAGCGGATCTGGTTATAACTGAGGATTCTGTAAGACAAAGGACACAAACAAGGTCACGAGATTTAGCTCTACATCAGGAGGCTTTGTTTGTTTTTTCAAAATATGAAAAATTATTCAAGAGATGACACAGTAGGTTTGGTTTTTATAAAAACTTGATACAGAACCTTTTGCCACTGAAGGCTAGACAATGAAAATTAACACCATGGGCACATTTCAAATACATTAGAAAAAGAAATAGTTAAAGATAAAAACACCTGCCAGATGCAAAGGTCAAAGAAAAGTCTGGAAAGTCAAACTCCCACACCACAGTTAAATGT